CAAAGTTACTGCCCTAATACAGCTTATGTTGTAGTAGGGGCAAGGCCGTGTTTGAAGACAGAACAGCTCAGTCTGAACACTGTTGAACATAGCTTCAAGTAGATCAAGTAAAGGGAATCAACAGGGCTCATGCCTTGGTTTACTGGAGACTGGTATCTCTAGGTACTGGGCTGCCTTAGAACAGGAATTAAAGGTGTTTGAGTATGTACCTTAGTGTGTATGTCTGTGTTTGTGTATGTTTTAGACATCTTTATTTTACCTAAAATAGGTCAGGGAAACATTTTCCTTTCAGCTACTTCTTTAATGGACTGGTTATAAACTCTTTTATAAACATTTAGTTGCTGGTCATGTTTTGCCCAGTATTGTCCTCCTACAGTCCAAGACAGCCCTTCTACAGAGAGCAACTTTCATTGTAGTTTATAAACATTTCCTGAACATCTGTAGGGTGCCATGAACCCTGAGCTAAATTCATTAATACCCCTGCTCCTGACAAGCTCCCAGCCTTGCTGAGGGGTGGTGGGAATAGACTCATGAATATTTAGAATGGAGAGTGACCAGAACTGCTACAGACTTGCCTGATCCAGCTTTAGGGTAGGAATCTGTGTTTCCAGCTATCCTCCTGCCTCCCTATATTTCTTTATAAAGGGCCTTTATCCTTTTCCAAGGGTCATGCCTTGGCATCCGTTCACACTATCTGATAAGGAAAATGTCTAGCAAAATTTGACTTGAATTTTGATATTCTCGACTGTGGAACTCTCAGCCCCTGAAGACCATTACTATTTGTATAACAGTGGTATCACTGGGGCACCCATTGATGCCTTCTAGAGTATTTGGTGTCGCGCCCGCCTCGCCAGCAAGGAAGACGCGGCAACAGGAGTTCTTCTGACAGTGCTTTATTGGGGTTCCCTTTAGACTTACATGATGCGGAAGACCCAGCCCGGCAGCGTGCAGGCCGCTATATACCCCAGAAGCACAACCCCTAAGCTGCGATAGGCCGCTCAGCTGTCGAGCCACCAAAGCATTAGTCCATAGCAGGACCCTTTGTTTGCATTCTCGCGCCACAGGGCAACCGACAATTGTGCGTGCGCTGAACTTGTTAGCTGCTCTAGGCAAAGCCGGAAACAGGCGCCAACTTGTAATGGCGTTGACACCGCGCCCCACAATTTGGTATCCTGGATACCATGTGTCTAATTTTCTTAGAAGAAAAAATAAATGATCAGATAAAACCCCAGGACTGCCTTTCCTCTTAACCTGTGCTTTGCTTTTTGTGTCTAGCTATACAGTCAGCATGTGGCACTGTGCAGAATGGAGGGGCTGCCATACCCCACAATGTCAGAGAGCATGGCTGTGTGTTCTCGGCTGGGCTCTTGCCGCCTCCTGCTCATGGAGCCCAGCAGGAACGACCTGCTCCTTCGTGTGCGGCTCAATGTCAGCCAGGATGATGTGCTATATGCGCTGAAAGAAGAGTGAAGAGGCTTCATGAGGAAGGACTGTGATCTGCTGTTTTTGAAAGATTGATTTCCTTTTTCTAAGCACATGGAATTATTGCAGCAAAGTATATTGAATGGAAATGGCTGTCATATATTTTGGAATTTTCCATTAAATAATTTGCTTTTTCTAAAGCATTTTGGAAGTCATTACAAACATCAATTGTAATGATTCAATCATTATAAAACCAAACTGTCCTTCTTACAATTGGCCCTTCCTCAGACTTTTATTTCTGTTACTATTCCTGCCATTTATTTAATGATAATATACCATATATATAAGTATAAATTATACCTGTATGTATATAAAATGTTCTGGGAGAAAATATAAGAAATTGGTTACATTGGTTGCCTCTGGGAAAGAACTGAATGGCTAGGGTCAGAGTTTAAAATAGGACTTTTCACTGTATAACATTATGTATCTTTTAAGTTTTGAACAACTGAAACAAAATTTAGCTTGTAAAAAAACTGCTGGAAATAATATCAGTGATAAATAATCTCTAGCAACAGAGCTAGAAAATGTAATTTTTAAAAAGGTACCATTTATCATAAAAACAAATCTTTAAATACAACAGATTTATATGGCACAGAAAATATAAAGTATCTAGGAATAAATCTAATAAAGAGATACAATTAATCTCTAGATGCAAATAAATTCCAATCAGAATCCTGGCAGGGTTTTTGGTTTGACTTTGCAAGTTAATTCTAATAATTAGATGGAAACCAACATCAGGACAAACTGACATCCAAGGCCTCATATGAGGTACTGAGAAAAACACAGTCTCACTCATGGAATAGTCCTGTCAGTGTTTGGCCCAAATCTGTTTATGAGAAAATTATGAGAAAAATCCACGTTGAAGGAGAAATATTCTGCAAAGCAACTGCTCCCTTCACTGAAAATATTAATATCACAGAAGAAAAAAACTCCACAAAACATGGAGGAACCATTCTAGACCAAAGGAAAATTCAGAGACATGAGAGCTAAATGCACCATATGAAGCTCAACTGGGTCCTGGATTTAGGAAATATGAACAATTATTATAAACTTTATTCATGTTAGATACTAGTAGTACTATGTGCTAAGTTTTTGGAGGGTGATAAATTTGTGATTATGTAAGAAAATGCAGTTCTTAGGTTCATGATGAAATATTTATGAGTGAGATATTAATGTCTGCAACTAATTCTCAAATAGTTCAGCAAAAATGTATATGTGTTTATAACCACATATAATGGACTAAGAATCAATATTAGAATATTTTAAAGACTTCCACAATTAATAATAAAAAGGAAAAATGGACAAATAACTCATCCACAAAAGGAGAAACACGGACTGGGCATGGTTGCTCATGCCTGTAATCCTACCACTCTGGGAGGCCGAGGTGGTTGGATCGCTCAAGGTCAGGAGTTCAAGACCAGCCTGAGCAAGAGTGAGACCCTGTCTCTACTAAAAATAGAAAGAAATGATCTGGACAACTCAAAAAAAAAAAAAATATATATATATATAAAAAGTTAGCCGGGCATGGTGGCGCATGCCTGTAGTCCCAGCTACTCGGGAGGCTGAGGCAGAATTGCTTGAGCCCAGGAGTTTGAGGTTGCTGTGAGCTAGGCTGATGCCAGGGCACTCTAGCCCAGGAAACAAGAGTGAGACTCCGTCTCAAAAAATGCAAGAAATCCTATAGGCCAGCCATTCCATTCCTAGGTATATACCCTAAAGAAGTCCACATATGTACATAGGAGTCATGTACAAGAATGTTCGAGCATTTTTTGTAATGGCAAGCCATTGTAAAAGTGACTTACTTTCATACTATGGAATCCCATACAAAATTAAAGTCAACTAACTAGATGAAGTATATATACCAGTGTGGATAAAGCTTACAAACAGTGTTAAGCAGAAAAAAGTTGAATTACTTTTTTTGATGTTAATACCAATGATGTGATATTAATACCAATGATAAAACATTTCAAAGCTTACAAAATGTTACTTAAGGATACATACATATATGGTAGAAATAGAAATGCTCAGGAATAACAAACACCAAATTTAGGATAGTGGTTCCCTTTTTGGGAAAGGGAAGTTGCAATATGGGAGGTGTACAGCTGGTTTCAAATGTAGTGTTTTTTCTTAAACTTGTAATAGGTGCCCGTGTAGTTATGTTAATTCACACACAAGGAACTACGGAGTGCCTACTATGTACCATGTACTGAGAAGAAACAAAAATTTCTGCCTTTGTAAATGTGAAATCTTTGTATATTTTTGTGTATATCTTAAATATTTCCTATAAAAACTTTAAAAGAAATGAGAAATATGGAAGTAAAACATCAATTTAAAAATGGTAAAGTCTGTCTCTTCTCTGGGAAATCACCCCAAAAGCAACAAGCGGATGGAAAAGGTCTTTGTCCAAGGAAACTACAAAACAATAATAAAACAGTTTAGGACTGCCATCCGCAGTCCCTGCACTGAGGCCCAGTACAAGTTGGTGGCCTCTTAAGAACTGGGCTGCACATCACCGCCTGAGCTCTTCTCCCCCCCCCCCCCCCCCCCCGTCCCCCCTCCACAAAATTGTCTTCCATAAAATTAGGAACCGGTAACCGGGCTGTACAGCAGATGAGCATTGTGGGTGCCAGCAAAGCTTCATCTGTTTACAGCCGTTCCCCATCACTTGCATCACCGCCTTAGCTGGGTGCCCCCATCTGTGGAAAAACTGTTCCCTGAAACCGGTCCCTGGTGCCAAAAAGTTTGGGGGCCGCTGGTTTAGGAGGTAGGCAGAAGTATGTGAAGAGGCAATGTTTTAGATGAAAGAGACTAGAGGATTTTTACTGACGCTAAAGAGGTTGGTTTTGTATTTCCCTGGGCAAGTAATTTTCTCTGGGCCTGCATTTGCTTCGTCCAGGGATCACGGCCATCTTGTAAGATTGAGGTTTGAGTAAGATCCACTAAGAAAAGAGACTGTTACAAGCTCGGCAGAAAACAGGCATACTCCATTTTTCTTTAAACCCCCAACCCCATCCCACCCCCAATTGGATTGCACTGCGGGGTAAAGGAGTAAGAACTTAGAATTAAATTATCTCAGGTGTTCAAGATGTGATCTCTGCTTGTCTTATCTGAAGTTTTCAACTGACTAGAAAGGGTTACCTTCAGGTGAATTACTAAGGAAAATAGGGTGAGCCCCACTGCCATCTCCTGGAGACTTCCAAAGACACCGACTAAGAAGGTGGCAGGCGGACAAGCCCCAGAGGGGCGGAGCGAGGACCTGAGGTGGGACGCGACCTGCGAGCCGGAGCTCAGCGGCTGGGACTGAATGAGGGAGCAGGCTTGGCGAAGAAGCTGTAAACGGACAGGGGCCGCGGCGCACCTACTGCGTTTGCGCGAGCAGCTGGGCGTCCCGGCGGAACCGCCCAACGTTCTCGCGGCGCTCTACCTGCCCGAAGGCGCCTGCGCGGTGCAAACCTCTCCCTTGGAGTCACCTGTCAGAACGCCCCGCCCGCTTCGCTCCGCACATGCGTACTGCGAGCCGCACGGGCATCGGAGTCACGTGTTGGGGGTGAGCCACCTCCCGCGCGGGCGCTTCCTGTCGCTGTAGCTGCCGCTGCTTCTGCCGCTGCCCCTGCCGCCTGGGGGCTGCGGGAGCCCAGGGCGGTGCCGGGCGGGCGAAGACCGGGATTTGGTTCGGCCGCCGCGAGGTATGCCGCGTACCCGCCCCCGCATGGGGGAGAACTGGGGACGGCGGGGGCGGCGGCTGGGGCGGGGCGGGGCGGGGCAGCACGGCGCGCCCGGCCGCGGGAGTGGGGCTCCGGCTTCGCCTCCCGCTGCGGACTCTGCTGCTGACCTGAGCCAGGCCTGGCTCCGACATGGGAGCCGCAGGCTTGGAGTGTCTGACCGCCCTCGTCTTTTCCCGGAGACCGGTCACTCCAGTGGCCCCAGCGGCCTTGCAGTTCACCCAAGTCACCGAAATCTGACACCAGTGTGCTCACATCCAGTTAATCTCGGAGCCCTGTTGATTTTACTTCCTACGTCTGGAATCCGTCCACTTCTCTCCATCCCCACCGCCTCCCCCATGGTCCCCCAGCTCGCCTGGACTGTTGCAAGGTGCTCCATGCCAAGACGGTTTCCTGCCTTCTCCCTCCTACTTCCTGTGCACCTTCACTTATGCAGCTTGGAGTAATGTTTCTGAAGCGCCCACCTGATCCCGTCCATTCGTTCCCCATTCCCCTCAGAATAATGCCCAACCTATGGGCATAAAGGCTTAAAGGGTTCTCTATTTTGCTGCTTGTTCAGATTTCCATCTTGGTTTGTACCATTTCTGGTCTCACAGTGTATGCCCTGGTAATACTAGGCCTTTAGTTTCCCGTTCAGGCCAAGCTGTTTCTCACTTCAGTCAGAACCACTGTCAGGTTGTTTCCTGTGTTGGGAATTCTGTACCCCATACTCTCCCTCCTTCATGACTCAGCCCACACCACCTCCTCTCAGAAGCCTTTTCTGTCTGTGCTGGAGAAGGAGCCACCTCTGGGCACACACAGCCCTTGGAGCAACCCTGTGTACTGATTGTCTGTTCATGAGTCTGCACCATGTAAGTGGTCCTTGAGGGCTGAGACCATGTTAGATTCATTTCTGCATTCCCATTGCCCAGTACAGGGTCTGACACATAGTAGGGCCTGTGAGTGGTTCTGAGATCTTTGAGAGAATCAGAATGCTGAGTCAGGTTTCTCTGGAGCACAAATGTCCAATGAAATTTTCTGTGATTATGAAAATGTTCTATATCTGTATTGTCCAATGGTAGCCACTAGCCACGAATGGCTGTTGAACACTTGGAATGTGTCTAGTGTGGCTGAGGAATTGGATTTTAAATTTTATTTAATTTTAATTCATTTAAACTTAAGTAGCCACATGGTTTCCATAATGGACAATGCTGCTTTAGAGTCTTTCTCAATTCTACCCAGCCTTGTACACGCTCTGAACCAAGAGTTACTTCGCTGAACCTGCTTTCCAAATTTGAGTCAGTTCTGTAACTCTGTTGTATGTCCACACTCCCTTTTTTTTTTTAAGACAGGGTCTTGCTCTGTTGCCCAAGGCAACAGAGTGTTGTTATCATGTACAGTGGTGTTATCATAGCTCAGTGCAACCTCAAGCTTCTGGGCTCAAGTGATCCTCCTGCTTCAGCCTCCCCAGTAGCTGGCACTATAGACGTGCACCAGCATACCTGGCTAATTTTTCTCTTTTCTTTTTTTTTGAAGAAGAAGACAGGGTCTTGATCTTGCTCAGGTTGATCTCAAACTCCTGGCCTCAAGCCATCCTCCTGCCTGTTTCTCCCAGAGTGCTAGGATCACAGGTATGAGCCACTGGGCCTGGCCCCTTATACTACTCCCCATTAAAACCATTAACAAGCTGTCCCCATTCCCTCCCCATGTTACTTGCTTTAGTGCTATAATTCCAACATTAGTAATTCATCCGTTGGTGTTAAGCATTGCCGCCTTTGGAAGTTTACTAACCACACCTTCCCACAGGGAGCAGTCGGCTACAGGGCTTATAGGTACTCCAATCTGAGTCTTTTCAACTCCCCACCAGATAGGTGTCTAGGCTGCGAAGATGCCAGGGCCAAGACCTCGGAAGGGCCCTCAGACCAGTGGCCAGGGTGTGGCAGCTGCCAAGCAGGTATGAACATAGCCTCCTATGTCCCTGGGCCAGTTGGGGGTTGGGGGATTTCTAGATAGCTTGGGTAAACCGGGTCACCTATATTCTTTCCCCATTAGTTCACGGACTTTGAGGAGTGCCTCCTGGAGGTGGCAGATCCCTTGGAGGCCCTCTGACTAGTCCTCGCTACTCAACAGTTGGGGAGAAGGTTCAAGAACCACCAAAGTTTAGGGTGTTCTGATGGGACCTTTGCTCTCATGGATTCCTCATATGGGGTCACAACTTTGCTTGCCAGCCAAGGATGCCAGGACTTGAGGGCTGCAGTCAGTGGGAGGGCTTCGCTGCTTAGGACAGAGGGCTGTAGCCCAAGTAGAAGATGGGATCTGTTCTCTAGTTTTCTCCCTTCATTTCTTCTGAGCCCAAGTCTTGAGACTTCTTAGTCCATTTTTATTGTCTTAAAAGAAGCAGGTAAGAAAGGTGGTGGGGAAGAGTGTATAGACTCAAGTCAGAGACCTCATTTTAAATTATGGCTTTGTCACAAGACTCAGTTTTATCTGAACATTGGGATAAAAACAGAACCTGTCTTCACATAGTCAAGTTCATGGAAACAAAGTAGAATGATACTTACCAGAGGCTGAAGGGAGGGAAGAATGGGGAGTTTAATGAGTAGAGTTTCAGTTTTGCAACATGAAAAGGGTTCTGTGGATGGATAATGGTGACGGTAGCACAACAGTGTGAATGTACTTAATACCATTGAACTCTACACTTAAAAATGGTTAAGATGGTAAATTTCATGTTGTATGTGTTTTCCCACAATTAAAAAAAAAAAATAGGATCCAGCCGGATGTGGTAGCACATGCCTGTAATCCCAGCTACTTGGGAGGCTGAGGCGAGAGGATCACTTGAGTTTGAGGTCACAGTGAGCTATGATGATGCCACTGCACTATAGCCTGGGTGACAGAATGAGACCCCATCTCAAAAACAGTAATAATGAAATAAAAATAAATAGGACCTACTCCTCAGGTGTGTGAGAATTATCATAGAATGCTAAATATAGTGCCTAGCAGCTATTACTGTTATTGTTAGTGATAATAATGGCAGTATAATCTTACTGGGTTCTTTGTAGAGTCTCTGGGGAGACAAATGTCCAAGGGGTAATGTTGCAGGCCTCAGTATTCCTTTCTGCACGTTGGGCTTCACACACTGAAGGGGCCACTGGCTGGGACATTAGGAACCCTACGTCTGGCTCTGGGGCTGGGTTCCACACTGCCTCATTGTGTAGTTCCTAAGAATCCTATTCTGCTCTCAGCTGGGGCTCTTTGTGGAGTTCAGCCCTGAAGACATGCTGCTGGGGGCGGATGAGACTGAGGATGATGAGGATCTGGAGGCTGAGCTGCTGGCCCTCACTGGGGAAGCAGAAACCACAGGCAGGAAACCAGCACCCAAAGGGCAGGGTGAGTTTGTGACACCAGGCTGGGTGCAGTGATGGAACCACTTGGGTGCAGGTTGGTAGTAGGGGTGTCCTCAACTTGCAGCTAGGAGGAGCCAGTCAGACCCTCTGTCGTTCTGGTGTCCCTGTGCCTTCTGCAGCACTCCCACCAAAAGATTCTCACCCTGCCTACACCCTGTGTGATGGGCACTCCCTCCTTCCCCATTGTGGACAGATCAGATTCTCAGGCTGATTGAGGTCCCTATCCTTAGCTCTAGCCAGGGTACTGACATAGTGCACAGACTAAGTTGGGTACACAGTAAGTGCACAGAAATTGTATTCAGTGACTAATTGGAATATCCCTCCACAGCCTGGATGAGGACATAGACCTTAGGCCTGGGAGGATTGGGGGTGTGTGTCTAAATATTTACTCATTTCTCACCAGGAACCCTCAGAGAGAACCAGCTGCCATCCCTTGTGTCCTTGAGCTAAGGACAATGGGAAGACCTGGGAAGGGGCTCACTGGTCCGGGCCTGCTTTGGTGTTAGACACACCTCGGTTTAAATCCGGGCTCTGCCACTTGTTGGATTGCAGTGTTAGGAAAATTAATGTTGAAGTTTCTCAGTTGACTCAATATATAAAAAGGGGATAATATTACCCATCTTGCAGAATTGTTGTGAAGCTCAATTGGACTTTTAAGTCTTTAAAGATGTGAGAGGTATAGTTGGAGGGAATGGATGGATAGGTCTGTGAATAACTATTATAGGCATTAGTGCAGAGAAGGGAGCAGGTTGCTGCCTGGTGGAAGGCCTATGGAGGTTTCCCCGCTGGGGGGCTTTGGGGCTGGTCATAAAGGAAGAGCAGTTTTCCAACTTGGACTTGGCTGTGGGAGGGAAGGGGAATTTCTGCCTGAGTGTATTTGCCGATGCAACGGATTCAAGACCCTCCTTTGCCCATCCTGACCTCATCTGAGTTGCCCTGACCCGCTGTGACCCTCTTCCTCCAGCCCCCCTGCCCATGGCCCACATTGAGAAGCTGGCGGCGGACTGTATGCAGGATGTGGAGGAGGAGGAGGAGGAGGAGGAAGGGCTGGAGGAAGATGCAGACCTGCTGGTGCGTCTGCCAGGCTGGTGTCCAAGGGCTCTGCAGTCACACTCAGGCCTGGCAGAGGGGAGGGCTGTGGAGAGGAGCATGTTCTCTGGCTCTGAGTGCGTACCTTGCCCTCCCCTGGGCTGTCTTCCTGGCTGTAAGTGTGAGACTTGTCTCCTTTGACCCCTGGTCTGAGCTCTGCAGTTGGGGATTCTCAGATTTGGAGTCTACTGTTTTTAGGGGTCTCCTCAGTCAGATTTAAAGAAATGTTTTGGTAAAGGGGACTTCCAGGCACATGGAGCGGGCCCTGTCGTGACTGTAGTCATGAGACTCCCACACTCCTAGGACTTGTTTATCTCCCCAGACTGAGCTGCAGGAGGTCCTGGGCGTGGATGAGGAGGCTGGACCCCTGGATGGTGATGAGGCTCCTGGCCCAGGCATCTCTGAGGAGAAGGGGCAGGAAAACATCGAACCTCTGGTGCAGACAGCCCTCCTGACGGCGTCGGTCTCGGCGGCTCAGGTGGGGTCTGGAGGAGGGGGCTACGCGTGCCCCTGGGTAACGTGCACGTGCTGTGGCTCATGCTGCACAGCTGCAGGGACCTTTCCAGGACCCTCCTTCAGCAGTTGCCCTGAGCAGAAACCAAGCCCAAGACACTCCTCCGTGGCCAGCTAACCTCAAAGGCCTCTCTGTTCTCCCAGACCACCCCCACAAGCCATTTCCTGGCCTCCACTGCTTGTTTGGGCCTCTGTATTTGCTTCTGACATGGCCTCTGGCCTCTCCAGTGAGTCTTTGCTTCCTACCTTGAGGCTTTTAGGCTATTCTTTGTCCTGGAGTCCCAGAGCCCCATCTTCTAGGCCAGCTTCCGCTCAGGAAGAGAACTGCAAGGGCCTAGCTGGCCCTGGAGTGGGCAGGCCCTGAGCTGAATTACTCTGTTTACAGGCTGGAGGGACTCAGCTGCAGGTTTTGCTGGAGGAACGGATTCACAACTACCAGGAGGCTGCGGCCAGTGCCAAGGAGGCAGGTGAAGCAGCCAAAGCCAGGCGCTGTGAGCGCGGCCTGAAGGTGAGCTGGGTGAGGCTCTTGGGGAGGTGGCAGGTGGGGGTTGCGCCAGTGGAGCAGAGGCCTCCCAGCAGCCCTGTGGAAGTGATGCCTGGCCTGTCTTTGAGTAGGGTCCAGGCCAAGATGGCTGTCTGGGTTTCTGAACTAGTTCTCTTCCTCAGACTCTGCAGGCCCAGCTAGTGGCTGTGAGGAAAGGCAGGAAGATCAATGAGGATGAGATTCCACCTCCAGTGGCCTTAGGCAAGAGACCCCTGGCCCCTCAGGAAACAGCCAACAGGAGCCCTGAGGCAGACCCCCCAGCGCCCCCTGCCATGGAGCCAGGTATCTGAAGACAGCTAAATCCCGGGTTAGTCCCCAGGGTCCTAGCCCACAGCCTGCCTCCCTGACCTGCCACTGTCCATTGCCATCAGTCATACCTTCCCCAAGAGGCCCTCAGGCTATTGAGACCTGTAGCGTACTGGGAACCCAGAGCAGGCACCTCCTTCTTTGACCCTCATGTCCTCTTGGGGGTTTTCTGTTTCCCTCCAGACAACCCCTCCCAACCTGAGACAAGCCTCCCAGGCAGCCCTAGCATTTCTGCCCTGCCTGATTCAGAGCCAGACCCAGACCCACGGGCCTTGTTGTCATCCCGGCAGAGAGAGTACAAAGTGGCTGCCCTAAGGGCCAAGCAGGCTGGAGAGCTAGACCGTGCTCGAGAACTCATGAGGATCGGGAAGGTATTACATCTGGCTCAGAGGCCCTGTGTCCCACCCCTTGTTTTACAGGTGGAGGAAACTGAGGCTCGGAGAGGGAGCTAGATCGGAGGTCTTGAGTGAGACTGGCCTGAGGGGGAGTTGTTTCAATCCAGGCTCTTACGGTTCCTTGGTTTATGTCCACACCTGCTTTTCTTGCTTTGCAGAGATTTGGTGCTGTCCTGGAGGCCCTGGAGAAGGGGCAGCCTGTGGACCTGAGTGCCATGCCCCCAGCGCCTGGGGGTCAGTGTGGGAATTGTGGGGGCATCTGCTCAGGCTGGGGTGGGGTTGGGGAGGTGTACTGGGGCTGGCCATGCACCCCCACCTACACCTCTGCTCTGGGTCCCCAGATCTGAAGCCCTTCCGACAAGCCTGTCAGGCCTCCACAGCACCCTCAGTCGTTCCCCCAGCAGTGGAGCAAGTGCAGCCAGTGATGGCCTCTGACAGCCCAGCAACCCCAGGTAGGACAGGGTGGTGGAGACTGGAGTGGGGACTTGGCAGCAGCAAGCAGAGCTGATGTCCTCTTCTTCCCTGCTTCAAGTAGCCCCTACAGAGGCCCAGACGGTGCTCGACGCTCTACAGCAGAGGCTGAACAAGTACCGGGAGGCAGGCATCCAGGCCCGGGGCAGTGGGGACGAGCGCAAGGCTCGGATGCACGAGCGCATCGCTAAGGTGGGCCTGCGGCCGTGCAGCCCCTGCCCTGTGTTGGCGCTTCCGCTGGCTGCTGCTCTCTGTCTCTCTGCTCTCCCAGCTGGCCCTTTTCTGAGTAGTCACCTGTCTGTCTGTCTCTCTCTTTGGAGCTCTTGCTGCCTAAGGGCTCTTTTTTCCTCCCTGGGCTCATGTCTTTTCATCAGTCTTCCTCTCCTTGCCTCCCTGTGTGTCATGGTGGGCAGGGGCCTGTGGACTGCTGCCCACCATGGGTCCCTGCTCTCCTTCCTGTGCAGCAATACCAAGATGCTATTCGAGCACACCGAGCAGGACGGAAAGTTGACTTTGCTGAATTGCCTGTTCCTCCAGGTGAGTGGGGCTTCACCTAGGGGCTCTATGAGGAGGTCTCTGAGCAAAAAGGGAGAGACAGGTAGGTGACTTCTCACGCATCTGCTTCTACCTTGTGGAGCCACCACCGCAGGCATGCCCAGGCAGAGCCAGACAAGGCCCCCAGCAGCCCTTCCCACCTCTGTCTCTCTTTCTCGCCGCAGGATTCCCCCCCATCCCTGGCCTGGAGCCCACCGTGGGCACTGAGGAGGATGCAGTGGCAGCTACTTTGGCAGCTGCCCAGAAACTGGCTTCAGAGGATACAGCCCCAGCAGATGAAGACGAGGACAAGGTTTGGCTGAGGGTGCAAGACTGCAGGGGTTGGTGGGGAGAAACAGCTGATGAGGGGTAAACCCAGACCCTATTGTTGTCCATACTAATAAGCCCAGTGAGGTAGGTATTCTCTCTTCCATTTTCTGGAGAAAAAACTTTGCCAAGGGTACCCGGCTAGGAGGTTGTAGAGCTAGGAATCAAACCAAGGTCTTTCTGACTCCAGAGCCCAGGTTCTATCCTCATTACCCTGATGTCTCCTTCCTACTGGGGAAGTTAGAGCTTTTGAGGCTTCTGGCTGTGAGGTCTTTTAGGGCTCAGGAAGGGAAGCCACCCATCTCCGGTCACACAGTGAGTTAGTGCGGTGTTAGGAGGATGGCCCAAGTCTGGGAGCTGCTGTGGACACGGTGAGGAAAAAATTCCCTCATGACAGCCTCCGGGGCATCTGCAGGGTGAGCCCCCAGTGCAGGCCCCAGCGGCCAAGAAGCCAGCGCAGCCTCTGGTCCCTTCATGCCAGCCCCTGCCTGAGCCCAAGGCCTCAAGTTCTAAGGAGTCACTGAGTCCATCTGGTGAGTTGGAGACAAGGAGGGTGGAGTGGAAGGTCCAGTGAGGGGCAGGCATGGCCCTAACTAGCGGCCCTCTCCTGGCAGTGCGGGAGCAGCTGGCACTGCTAGAAGCAAGGAAACTGCAGTACCAGCGGGCAGCCCTGCAGGCCAAGCGCAGCCAGGACCTGGAGCAGGCCAAAGCCCACCTGCGGGTGGCCAAATGTCTTGAGGCTCAGATCATCCAGGCTCGAGCTGGCCAACCTATTGATCTCTCCAAGGTGAGTCCCACCTGGTTAAGCACCAGGACCTCTCAGGCAGAGGAGGGGGGGCAGGCTTGACAGGCAGGGCTAGGAACTAGGGCCTCTTTGGGGAGGAGATGGGATTTGGACAGGATGTGACGATAGCTGGGAAGGAGCCCTTTGCCTGTGCCTGTCTACTGCACAGCCCCCACAGAAACCGAGGGAGGCCAGGTGGGCTGCCTGTGGTCAGAGATGACAAGTGAGTGGCAGAGTGTTTCAGTGGCTTGGGGCAGAATGGGAAGCAATGAATTCCCGTCGTTGGGAGTTTAGTAGAAGCTGAAGAAACATTTAGCTTGGATTCCTGCCTTTGTTGGGCTCACTAGAGGAGTAATCTGACTCTTGGGGCCCGAGGGGCCTTGTGACCTGGGTAGGTGCCTTCACCCTTGACGGATGAGGAAGGTGACTTCATCCTCATCCACCACGAGGACCTGCGACTCTCTCAAAAGGCTGAGGAGGCGTATGCCCAGCTACAAAAAATGCTTCTGGAGCAACAAGAGGTGAGTAGGCCCCTTGCCGCCTCCTTCAGTGCCCACAGCCTCCCTGTGGAGAAAGACACAGAGCTCAGGCCACGTGGGCCAGGATTCAAATTCCAGTTCTTACACTAACTGGCTGTGTGACTTTGGGCAAGGTACTTTCTCTCTCTGAACCACGTTTTTCTCATCTATAAAGGAGGTAACACCCTTCTTTCGGGGTGGTTACTAAGTTCAGACAACAGAGTAGCGGGGAAAGGACTTCATAGATGTCACGGGGGACAGATCCGTATGTATATTTAAGTGTGTATCTATCTGAACTGCTGCCTGTCCTTCTGGAAAGTCTGCCTTCTGAGGTGATGTTTGAATTAGGTTATAAAGGAAGGATAGGGTTTTGCTAAGTGAATTTTGGGGAATGGCTGTTTTCAGGAGAGGAAATCGCAAAAGTGTAGGCAGAAAAGTGTGGTAGGACTTGGGAAAGGTGCCCATGGGATATGTGTTGGGCGAGGAGAGAGGTGAGGCTACAGAGAAATGCTGGAGCTTTAAGAAGTCAGGCCTTGGCTGGGCGCGGTGGCTCACGCCTGTAATCCTAGCACTCTGGGAGGCCGAGACAGGCGGATTGCTCGAGGTCAGGAGTTCGAAACCAGCCTGAGCAAGAGCGAGACCCTGTCTCTACTATAAATAGAAAGAAATTAATTGGCCAACTAATATATATAGAAAAAATTAGCCGGGCATGGTGGCGCATGCCTGTAGTCCCAGCTACTTGGGAGACTGAGGCAGAAGGATTGCCCAGGAGTTTGAGGTTGCTGTGAGCTAGGCTGATGCCACAGCACTCACTCTAGCCTGGGCAACAAAGTGAGACTCTGTCTCAAAAAAAAAAAAAAAGAAGTCAGGCCTTGAATGCCAACCTGGGCAGGTTCTGCTCTGGAGTCATTCTGGGCCCCTCTTTTCAGAAGTGCCTGCTGTTCTCCAAGCAGTTCATGCACCTGGGCAATGTGGCTGAGACCACCCGGTAAGTGCAAGGGCAGGGGTGGGGCAGGGCATATGGGGAGGGGAGCAGACAGTGAGCCCTGTCATGCTGATGTGCACACCCCTCCCTGTCAGGTTTGAGAAGCTTGCTCAGGATCGCAAGAAACAGCTTGAGATACTGCGGCTGGCTCAGGCCCAGGGTCTTGACCCTCCCAGCCACCACTTTGAGTTGAAGACATTCCAGACTGTGAGGTGCCAAGGCCTGAGGGAGGCAGTGGCTCTGTGCAGGGGCTGGGAGCTGAGGCCGGAGACTTCTGTTCCTTCCTGGAGACTTCCTAAGCTTGGCCCTGCCATGGGCACTGGGGTTGGTGAGAAGCAGGCCATGGTGCCTGCCAGGGAGGAGCTCAGAGCAGTCTGGTTGCTGTGGAAAGAGCTCTGGGCTGGGGTCAGAGACCAGGGTCTGTGTACCAGTTCTGCCGCTTCTAGCCAGGACAAGCTATTCCTCCCGGGGCCCACTCAGCCAGGCAGGTGGGCACTGGGAGAAGGGACCTTTTTCCACCGCTCCCCTTCACTTTGAGTTTCTTTTCTTCTTGGCTATAGGATCTTCTCAGAACTCAACAGCACGGAAATGCATCTGATTATTGTCCGGGGAATGAACCTCCCAGCCCCTCCAGGTAACCCTAAGGCCGCCCCTACCCAAGGAGGTTCTTGCCCTGACACTGCACCCCAAGCCTGGGCTCCTGCTGCTCTGGCTCCTGACTCCCTTTTCTCCCTCACAGGGGTGACCCCTGATGACTTGGATGCATTTGTACGGTTTGAGTTTCACTACCCTAACTCGGTGAGGTTCAGGTAGAGGGTAGGATGCTCTGAAGCCCACCTTCCATTCCAGGACCCTATGCTCAGTTTCTCCCCATCCTTGGGAGGCCTGGCTGTAGGTTCCTGGCCCCGTGTGCCTGTTTTGCAAGCTGTCCTGGCTTCTCTCTCTCCTGCTTTAGGACCAGGCTCAAAAAGGCAAAACAGCTGTGGTGAAGAACACAAACTCTCCAGGTGAGGGCCACAAAGCATCCCTTTGTTCTCCCTCTCACTCTGTGGGTAGCACTTGTGGTTCCAGAGTGCTTTCAGATCTGTTATCTTACTTGGTCCACTCATCTTGGGAGAAAAAGGTACTATTAACACTCCTCTTACATAGTTGGGGAAATAGGCTTAGAGAGGTAAAGGGACTAGCCTAGGGCGTCATAGCAAGGTGGCACAAATGGGACTGAACCCAGGAATTCTTGCTCCAAATTCCAAGTCCTTCCCACATTGTTATAATCTGTGTCTAACAAGAATAGAAAAACTGCTTCCAAGGCCAGGACCTAGATGCTCTGCCACCCTTTCGTGGCAGTTACCCTGAACTGTAGGCAGAGAGATTGAGGGAAGCCAGCCCTAGGCCTCTGTTTCTACTACCTCAGGAAATCCCTGGGAGCCAAATCCCTCTTTGCCTTCCCCTCTTGCAGAATTTGATCAACTTTTCAAACTAAACATCAACCGAAACCACCGGAGCTTCAGGAGGGTCATCCAAAGCAAAGGAATCAAGTTTGAAATCTTCCACAAAGGGTGAGCCTCCTGTCAGTCACACTGCCAAGGTGGGCTGGGAGAAAGGAAGAGCATTTCTGTCCCTGCTGCTGCTCTGTTTTCCTGCATTAACTCAGCTCGGTCATTTCTGCCTTCCTGCCCAGACCAATCGTCTGCTGTCTCTTGGCTCCCCAGATCCTTCTTCAGAAGTGACAAGCTGGCCGGCACAGCACAGCTGAAACTGGAGCGGCTGGAGAATGAGTGTGAGATCAGAGAGATCGTGGAGGTAGGGCCCAGGGGGTGGTCAAGCCAGAGGACTTGGTAAGAGAAGAGCCAATAGTCAATGAACACCAGTTCCTACTGTAGGTTTTTGTGTTCATTACTTAAAGTTGTGCTTTAGGATAGGTGGTGTCCCCATTTTACAGATGAAGAGGTTTGAATGGTCTGAGAAACCTCATGGTGGGACCCACCAGAGTGCAGCTAGTCTGTAGTTAGGAATCAGTCCCCAGATAGCTCCTTAAGCTTCCGTGAGCTCATAGGATTACCCAGACTCCGAGCTTGCTTCTGACAAGTGAGGAAACAGGCCAGAGAAGAAAGGGGGGTCACATAAGCTTATAGTGTGTGTCTCTTTGGCAGAGCTAGGACCAGACCCTCACTGATACCTTTGTAGGCTGGTGCTTTTCCCAAACCAGCACACTTTCCCCCAACCCTGACCCCCCCACCTGTCTGGGGGCGTAGTTCTTACACGGGGCGGGTCTATATTAATCAGCCCTGCCGAGGGTGCTCAGACTTCTTAGGCCTGTTGTGCTACTGTGAGCTCCAGCTGCCCCCCTCTCCTGCCCAGAAGAGGGAGCCGTGTGGTGAGTGGGAAAGAAGCCGTGGCCTGGGTGCTAGTCCTGATGGCCAGGCACCCACTTCTCTCTGAGCTATCTGTAAAGTGAGGGTTTGGACTCGGTACTTTTTAGGCTGCTCCTTGAAGTCAGTGTTTCTTCCAGGAGTTGCCATGGGGATTGATGGAAAAATGGAGTGAGCAGAGCACTAGGTTTCTCATCTTCACTTCAGTTGAGCGCTGATGCTTATCTAAATTTATATATTACTTTTTTTATAAGACTTACCTAAAACCACCACTACCACCTCCAAACAGCAGGAGGGCAGGGTTGTCATGAAATGGAAGCTCCAGTGTTAATACCACCTTAGCCCCTCTCACTCCTTTCCCAGGAGCATAGGGACCAGCCTGCTCCCAGCCCATCTCCTCAGTTACTGTCTCCCTCTCCGTGGTCCTCACAGGTCCTGGATGGAAGGAAGCCCACCGGGGGGAAGCTGGAGGTGAAGGTGAGGTTGCGGGAGCCTCTGAGTGGCCAGGACATGCAAATGGTCACTGAGAACTGGCTGGTCCTGGAGCCCAGGGGCTTGTGAGGTGGGTAGCTCTCAAGGCCCTTGGAACCTCTGCCCCTGGTTTTTGCTAGGGCCCTTTAGAGACCCTTCTCTTACCTCGTTTCTGGGGAGAAAGCCTGGGGGTTTCTCATCTATGAGGAAGAGAGACCAAATGATTGGGTCAGGTTCATGGGCTGCATTTCTTATGGTGATCAATAGAATTGGGGAGAAGAGGTAACCTTCCAAGCTTTCACTATCTTCAGGAAATCCTTTCTAAACTCTGTTTGTTTTCACTGCAGTTTAGACTTACTACTGTGCTTTGCACCCCTGTGCGACAGATGGTAAGCACCGGGAGAAGCCAGCGACTGTGTGCAGGAGCTTACTCTTCCCAGCTGTGCTGGCTTCAGAAGCCTCTGTACATAAGAGAGATGCTGCTACACAAGCACCAAAGACCTGTTAAGCACGTGCACTAATGACCTTGACCCTTGTCTTTCCTGTTGCTGGCCCCTCCTGGGCCTCCACAGAAACAGGCTGGATTCCAGAAGCCCCTCATTCCTCTCATGCCATGGAGTCCTGCAGCCCCTTAACTCCCGCATAGCAACTGTGCAGCTTACCCCTGCCCCCTAGTTGCACCATTTCTGGATGTGCCTTTAAAAGATATAACTGTAAGGGATGGGAGAACTTGGGGATGATCGGGAACCTTTCCTGCTTAGGGTGGGGGCAGGGTTCCGTGACACCAGTGGGTCAGTGGCAGCCTGTCCCAGACAACTCCTTACCCCAGCTCTGCTGTGCCTGTGCCTTTGTTCCTGACAGCTGCTGCACTAGCCTTCCTGCTTCCCAAAGGACTTAGTGGAAGAGGAAACTTATTTTTGGTACTATTTGGGTGGGAAGTAGGGAAAGGTTCTATCTTAGGTTTGGTCCACGTACCTAAGATAAAAGACTGTTAACTTGAAGGAAAAAAAAAAAATATATATATATATATATATAAAATAAAATAAAATTTTATGTAGCAATTTTTATTTAAAAAACTAGGTCTAATTCATAGCAGGGATTTTACAGTCTACACACAGAATAGCCATCAAAGTTCTAAACAAAAGCCCTGCTCCCTGTCCTTTTTAAAAGCCAGCATAGCAGTGTCGTCTGTCACTGACAGAAGCTTCTGTGGTCTTTGGAGAGGGCAGGGAAAGCCTTTCCCATCAGCTGCTCACCTGGGGAAATCCCTTAGTTCTGTCCAAGAAACTCTCCTTTGGCTCTGTTTTTCTGAACGGATAGAGATGAAGGGATTTATAGTAGTGTAAGTGGTTGTAATACAATAATCAAAACTGAAACATTCTACATTTCTTAGAAATAAATACCCCATCTTCCCCCCGCCCCCCTTGAAGCATTAACTTAAGGTCAACAAAGCATTCCTCAACATCATTTTTAAAGCTGTAAGTGAAGCAAATATATTCAGCTTACTGATCACTATAGTACTGCATAAGCACAGCTCAAGGATTCAGCTTGGGGGTGTGTGTGTCTTTTTTAGGGATAATAGGCCTGGACCATGCTTCCCTGCCCTTAAAAGCAGAGCTTTTAGTGGGTCACAGAGCAAGAACTATACGTAAGTGACTTTTCCCCAAGAATTCTCTGGCCAAGCTTACTTACCTATCAGAAGCAAGCTACCAAAACTTCCACAGATGTGTGTTAACACTTAATTGTAGTCACATGTGTGGCAAACAAGCAGTAATCTAGAATGAAAAGGAGGGCTGTTAGCCTTCACAAGGTGGCCTAGGGCAAACAATGGTGGCCAAACCATTCCTCAGCCAACCTACTCTTCCCCTTAGGGTGTGCACCCAACCCAGTGCTTACAAGAGGGTTAGGGACCACTGTGGCTATCCTTGAAGTTTCCAGCCAGCCCTGGGAGTTTCTAAATTCAGGGCTCTGCTGTAAATGTCCTATTTCAATAGGAAGTTTTCTATGGCTCTGTCTCCCCAGATTCCCTTTGCAAACCTTTTGATTTGTCTGCTTCACTGCTCTTTGCTTTTTGAAAAACAGGACCTCTAGGCTGAGGGATGTAAGAAAGCCTCCCACTGGACTTGGAGACTGAGGTTCTTAAAAGGCCTTTGTTGTAGCCAAGGCATGCATGGGTCACTGGTAGTGGGAAGAGCCTGCTCCAGCCTCATCTCATCCTAAGATTTGTCCACATACGGTAACCAAACATTGAAGATTAGTGATTCACAGGCAGTGGGAACCAGCTACAACCCAAATTATTTAAAATTTTTGATTCTCTTTTTGATCTAGGGCCATGCACATTTTCTTGTGAATTAGTGAATTAGAAGAAATTTATCTTAGAATCAATACATCTTGCTTACAGTTAAAGGGCAAACTTTTTTGACTATAACATTATTTTCCTTTTCTCATAGCACCACTCTGAAACCTGCCTCATTACTTCCAAATTTTGAAGGTGTGTTTTCCAAATAATTGTGGGCAGCTCCTAAAAGACCTTGCCCTAAGTAAGAACAGATGCTTTCAGGGTGAAACCACAGGACTGAGAATGGTAGATCCAGGGACTTACACTTGGTGCAGCTCCATCACAGATAAGAGTATTTTCTCCTCTGGGCCTCAGCTGCTAGACTCTAAAATGTAGCATCATCATTTCTGCTACACTCCTTAGCCTTTCTGGATATGTATGCAATCCCTAAATATCCCATTGCCATTATTTTAGCATTATTATTAAAAACCACCATCACAAACTTGCCAATTCCAGAAACAGTGTTCAGCAGATTGTCTAAAATGCATTAAATGCATAAATTATTTCCCAGATGACCAGTTATGACAGAGGTCAATTTAATTGGAAATTTGGGGCCCACCAGTGTTTAGGAACTTCCACAGACAAAAATCCCATACTGTAGCCCTAAAGCCCAGAAGGTGCCCAGGAAATGTTAGCAGAAATAAATGGATAAAGTATATTGCTTAGCATTTGATAAGAATTAAATAATTTGTAAAAATTTAATAAAGTAACAGAATGGCAATTATATTCCTCTATGGTTCAGAAGTATCCTTTTATCTGTCTTTTACAATCTAGAAAAATTGGTGTGCTTAGAAATGTGGTATTTCAGCCCTTTCACTTTATGTATCAATTTTTATAATATAATATGCATTCTATAAAAGCAAAGATAAACAGGAAATTAGCCTTGGCTGTTTTATGCCCAATGCCACAAGATGATTTTACTAAACATAATTATGTAGTTGAAAAACAGGCCAGAGTTTGTCCTTAGTGGAATTTTTTTTTTTTTTGAGACAGAGTCTCACTTTGTTGCCCAGACTACAGTGAGTGCCATGGCATCAGCCTCACTCACAGCAACCTCAAACTCCTGGGCTCAAGCAATCCTCCTGCCTCAGCCTCCCAAGTAGCTGGGACTACAGGCACACGCCACCATGCCCAGCTAATTTTTTCTATATATATTAGTTGGCTAATTAATTTCTTTCTATTTATAGTAGAGACGGGGGTCTCGCTCTTGCTCAGGCTGGTCTCGAACTCCTGAACTCAAATGATTCACCTGCCTCAGCCTCCCAGAGAGCTAGGATTACAGGCGTGAGCCACCAGGCCCGGCCTGTCCTTAGTGGAATTAAAAAGCTTGCACTGATCCAGAAGAAATATGTACAGTGGCAAGATACATATGACTGAGAGGAAGAAAGACTATAGGAAAACAGGGCCAGCCCTGTAAAAGTTCCAAATTTCTGAAATATATTTAGACTAAGCTGACTATTGCACCAAAAATACCTGCCCTTGTTAACAGGTGCTTCCTGTTCTTGTCAGGTTTGGGAGGTGGCAGTCCCAGGGCTTAGTCCTTATAAGGTGGGCTAAGGGGTGCCTACTTTCTTCTCTTAGGAGTTCTGGGTACCTCAGGCTATGGGAGAGGTCACAGTTCTCTACATACACCATCAGTACAGCCTTTGGAGAAGCAGATGTGGAATATAACCTTCCACCCCACAGAGAGAGGGATGAACCCAGCCAGACACTTCTAGGCCAGGCCCTAAACAGCTCCACAGCCTGATACTGCCATGTGCTAAACCCCATTCTAGCCACTGGGGTGCAGCCTCTCATGGCCTCAGTCTCAGAGGACTGCACTAGTTTCCTGGGAATTCTTGGAGTCATACTTTTACTGCAGAGGAACTAACTCTACCTTGATCTGGGCTTTCATAAGTTGCCAGTGACAATGGAGTGAGTTGCCCTAGAGCTGTATTTTTCAAACTGTGGGTTGTGGAATCCATTTGGTCTATGATCAGAATCAATTTTTAACAAAAGAGAAAAAGATCAAAGATCAGAGTGTATCACATATACCATGGATAAACCAGATCTTTGTTTCTGATACCACTCCCACTGAAAGAAACTGGGGTTCCCTGGAGAAATGGCTGATTCCAGGGCTGGGCCAGGGTGAGCAGAAGATGAGCCTGAGGCATCTTGTTAGGCTAGGAAAGAAAGTGTTCAAAAAGAAAAAATAGGAGCATGTCACAAAGATGTGGGAGCCAGTTTGAAGGGGCTCTATCTGGCTAAACATGAGACCATTTGTGTACCAAAATAATATATTAGAACCACTGAAAAAATAGTCCATGAGTCCATAATGAAAATTCATTAAATGAATAAATGGGGAAGAAGAAAGGGCTTTTGCTTATAGTAGCTTAGCAAGTGCAACTGGAAAAGGGAGGGAGGGAGTGCTGGAATTGGAAAATGGGTTGTAGCCATTACATTAACAGTTAAAGATCAGTGCAGATAAGGAACATCAGTACACACTAATCTGGGGACATTTTAATGGGCAAAATATTTATGTCTGAAAGTATCATAATATATATTAGTTATTATTCCTGGGGCAGGAGATATACAGTGTAGAAATTGGATAATACTTTGATCTGGTGATCAAAATTTACCACCTTCAATGAGGGACAGATGGAAATCAAGTGATGCTGGCCAAAAATGCATAAACTGATTCTAAATATGAGGAAACATCAGTATCAAAAGAGGTGTTTTCTGTTAAAAAAAAAAAACAAAAACAGGTGGGGTTGGCTATACTCACCAAAAATATCAATGACATAAAACATTAAGGCAAATCCTGAAAGATACATGCCATGTCAGATCCCAGGACGGAAGATCTACTGGAGGGAAAAAAATGCTACAACAAAGGATATTATTGGGGGAAATACGAGGTTAAAGTATCATATCAATGTTAATTTGACTGAAGTTGAGAAGTGTCTTGCAGTTATATAAGAGAATGTCCTTATAGGAAATAAGCATTATTTAGAGGTAAAAGGCTATAATGTATACAACTTATTCTCAAATGCCTCAATTTTTTATGGAGAAAGAGAAAGGGAGGGAAAAAAAAACACTGACAAATCAAATGGGACAAACTGTTAATATGCAAACAACAGGGAATTTGGGTAAAGGATGCATGGTGTTTTTGTACTTACAACTTTCCTAAAAGTTTAAATGATTTCTCAGTAAAATTTTTAAAAAAATACCTCTGGTGTATTATGTTATAACTCAAATGACTTGGGTGTCTTCTGTCAGCTTTCACAGAAATGTTTCGTTTAATATCTGCCATTCACTTGGGCAGCTCTTGAGTGATCCTGAGCTCAACTCTGCTCTCTAAATGACCTCATTTACTGAATTGCCCATCCATGACTAGAACAGTGGATTTAAGCCCTTAGGTCTTTGATTCACTTCAATGAATAATCTGGGAAAAACAAAAATCTAAGTGTGACTTCTACTTGATAAACAGCTGTGATGTAACTGGGACAAGATCGGTGTGGAATTCTTTTTATATCAATTCTGTACAAAGAGTGCAAGAACTAATGCTTCATTTTTTATTTCCCCTCTGCCCTCCCACCCCACCCCTGGTGATGGTTGTACCCATTTGAGCATTTCTGAGCACATGACCATAAATAAGTAAATCTTAAAAGAGAAGAGCAGAATTCTTGTCTAACCAGTTACAGAAGAGGATTAGCTGCAAGGATAGCATAACTGTTGTGCAGTAACAGAAGCTGCCCAGATCTTCTTGGTGGAAAATGCATAGAAGATTTAGAATTATGGAACAACTGTCCCCCTAACCTCCCTTTCCCACCCCTGTCTCCCAAACCCCTACTCCCACCCTACTCCACCCACTTCCCCATTAATAGTGTTAACAAAAGCTTAATCTTCCAGTTTTAAAGTGCAAATGATTTGGGTATGACTGCTGTTGCAACAGGTCTGAACAGAAAAAAATGATGTCTTCTCTGTCTATGCAATGTTTTCCAGAATATAAAAGATGAGTTCCATGACAATGGGGCCCTCACTGAGCTGGCAGGCCCCTCCATGGATCACCGGCACCAAAGCGCTGTCCAGATCATTCATGTACTGCGAGGGAAGGGGCTGGCCGTTGCTCCCTGCTTGATAGCCAACCTACACCAAAGAGAGAAGGGGTGACAGGTTACTGAACAGAGAAAGTCTCTCAGAGGGCTGAGGAGCAAGGAGGCCGAACAGGAAAGGAGATGTCCTTCTTGGCCTTAGACTAGACACATGGCAGTGAATACATATTGCTCCTCTTCCCTGAATTGTCATTTACAGTCTTGTCGTCTATTCACACTGACCACTCACTTGATAGCTGTGAGACATTGGGTGAGTCACCTAACCAGTTAAGGTCTTACTTTTCTGGAGAAGGGCCTGGGTGTGTAGAAAGGTATGGAGTGCCAGAAATAATACTTTAACCTTTGGTTGTGAAAATTACAATGAGAAATATACAATGTACAGCTCCCTAACAAAGCAGGAACTGAATATTTGTTCTTCCATCTGTCCATTCACCAATATATCATTTTCTGAGCAGCTACAACACAGGGATCCAAAGATGAATGTAACAGGGGTCCTGCCCTCAAGAGGCTCACACATTTAGCAGGAAAAAAAAAATGCTTGTTCTTAGATTGTTTTATGTGAGGTAATTCTCTCTCTCCAGCCAGATTATCAGTGCCATTTGTGAATGGACCGTGACACTTCATATGTATTACCCTGATATGCTTAGTACAGCACTGGGCAAGACCTAAAAGTAGAAAATAAGTATTTGTTGATTAATGACTAGTCAAGAAATGGAGCCAGACATTATTCCCTGATAATGGCACAACTTAGCAGGAACCAGATTCTCCCCTGAGCACTCAGGCCAGGAGCAGAATTAGTACCAGCTGGACAGGTAATACAGCTGACAGTCTGCACCCACTTTCTAAATGACTCAAAAGTGATGGGCTGAGGGATAAGAGAAGTCTGACAGTTTGTAAACATCAAGACAGGACCAGTGGGACATGTCACAAGGCATCCAAAATCCAAAAGAAGTGGACAGAGATTAGAGTACTAAGCCACAGGAGAGAAAGGCTAGGACAAGGAACTGGGGGTTAACGGGCTAAGACCAGATTGTTACTACAGAGAATGTATAAGAACTTTAAGTAAGACAGGGAGGGAAGCCTGGTAATAGGAAACTCAAACTGACAAGAAAATTAATGGGCAATAGCTCAAGTCCAATTCACTAGCTAGGATGAAAATGTTAACAGTAAGGAAAACCTTATTAAGGCATGGGCAGCTGCAGAGGCCTGTCAGCAGAAGCCTACTCTAGCTGAATTTTAAAAAACAACAGGATAAGAGAGCTTGGGACCTGCTCTCTAAGGGAATGCAGAATGATTCCACTGCACAGGTGTGGCAGTCCTCCCACACACTCCACTCCTTATCTCATACTAAGAAGAAAATCAGCTCCTTGGAAGACAAGCAGGTGAAGAAGTCACAGTTCAAATGGTTCTGAGAGAGTTCTGACCAAGCAGCACATCTGGGTATATTACTATTAGAGGGAAGGCCAGAATACTATCTCTGGTCAGGCCAGAAGGCCTAGAGAATTAAGTTCTCTGGGTTGATGAAGGAAAACCCACACATCAGAAAATATACACTGCCCAAGGCCAGGTTCAAAAGCTGCCTAAGACCCTTCTTACCTGATCTGAGTCAAGTGTCACACGTAGTCCCAGTTTAGTCATTCCATCTTCCTTCAGAAGTTTCAGGTGGGGACAGAGAGCAAGGCAAAAAGCCTTGGCAACATGCTCGGTCAATCTGCTATGATCTGCAGGATCACTGAGGCAATTGTGCTGGTCATCGTTTTCTAGGAAAAATACCTGTTTCCCAAACAAAAGAGACTTTTAACCTTGTGTCTAGATTTTAGAAGAAATAAGTGGATTAGCTCATGATAGATATATAAGCACCCTGATTCTTTAAAGTGTGCAGGAAGATCTGACAGGAACAGGACACTATAAAGCCCTTGCGCCAGGAAAAGTAGGGCACTGATGTACCCCTATAAAACAATCCTTGCCTCTCCATCTCTGCACCCACGAAATGGTAGTAGCAACCTATCTCCCTGCAAGCCTCCGCCATGGTCGTATCGGTACAGAAAAGGCTTTCATTTTGCATTATGTACTTGTAAAAGGTAATCCCTATATGTGGACAGTTTTCTCAGGGAATGATCTTAAATCTAAGAGAATAGCTCTTACACATTATGTGACCCCGGCCCTTCATTTCACAGATTACTCATAGAAGGGAAGTGGCTCGGTCAAGTGCATAGAAGTTCTTAGAGGCAGAGCCAAGCTAGAATGTGAGTCTTCTGCCTTTTATCACAGACAGAGCTTTTCCTACCATGTGGCCCTGCCTCTGCTGAGGCCAGTGCTGTGTCCGTGGGCTCACACAGAGCTGAGGACTGCATGGGCACAGGCAGCAGCACAGCAAACCTGGAACTGAGAGACTCAAGTCCCAGTAACACAGAAGGGTTATAAGCAAGTCCTTTAGTCGGAGCAATACGGGAAGTCAAAGGACTTCTTAATGCCTAATTTGCCTCTGTAAGGTGGAAAGCGCTGTCTTCTCTGGTTATTATAAAGAGAAAAATGATATAAAGGTAAAATATAAGAAATACAGAAATGAAAATACACCATGTTTATATATACCAACCCCTAGCTTACTGCTCAATAAGGAGCTTTTACTAAAAATACTACAAAGGAGGCAGCTATGAAAACCTGTGCCTGGACACACTGGTGAGAGTGGCAGCTCTGGGGCGGGAGTCAGGAGACCTGAGCTCTGGCCCCTGCTCTGCCATTAGCCAGCATTAGTCATAAAGTCACAAAGTCACACAGTCGCATGACCTCTCTGAACCTGATTTCCTCATTTGCAGATACGATGGGTAAGCCTGCATACCTTACTGAGTTATTGGGGAGCAAAAAGGAGGTAACAGAGAGAGGTCAAACTACCTTATGAGCTGTAGAATTTTGTTCCAGACTCCATACTGCTCAAAATGTGTCAAAGGGACAATCATGATATAGCAAGCAACTAAAAATCACTCAAATGCATATGAAACATGGAGCCTGGTATGAAATATAAGTCACTTGGACCAACCACTCAAGAACTGGAGAATTAAGTTCTAGTCTCAGTCCCATTAGGAAATAGCTATGTGAACTTGGGTAAGAGACTTAACCTCTCTTGGCCTCAGTTTCCTTATGTGTAAAAGAATGTTAAAAAATAATTAAGACTCTTAAAGCTCAAAGGAATTCTAAAGATCTTATAATTCAATCCTTTATTTTACAGATAAGTATAAATGAGGTTTGAAGGCAATTAAGAGATCTGAGATCTACCTACTTGTTCTTTGAGAGCAAACTTTCTGATCTCTACGATATATATATAAAAATAGGGTCCCTCGCTCTACTTTTCTCATTCTCAGGTTAGCCTCTAATATAGCTTTCAAGTTAAGGAGCAACTCAATATAGTGGAAAAGAGCTTAAGAGTTGACCAAATCTTGGTTTCAATCAGGATTTTGTCATTACTTCTTTGCCTTGTAATCTTGGACAAGATACTTAGTCTCTGAGCTTTATTTCTCCTTAATGATGAAATAAGTCTATTTTTAAAAGACTGTGTTATCTGAGATAGTTTTAACTGTAAATGAAGAATAACTGATCCAACTTTCTGAAAAATACAGCAGAGATGGTATGTGCCACTCAGAGATGCATCCTTCTTGAATTCCAATGCAAATAAATCTATAAAAGCTAGTTCACAGGAAGGAGGATACATAGGATTGCTGCAGACTGCAGTTGATGGAATTTTTTCCTAGTGATCTGAGATAACCAGAGGGAACTGGAGTATAGAATAGAAAGATTTTTTTTCTTATCCTCCAGCATCAGCCCAGAATGTGGCTCTTGGCCTAATAAAATGTTGTGTTCAAAGTGGGTCAAGGATACCTAGGTTCATTTCCTTACCTCTGTCCATCTGATGACTTTTCCATTTGCTTTATATTCTGATCCATGGAATATCTTCACATTTGTTATAGACTCCATGGATTTCCCATCTATAGGACTTATGACACTAAAATAGACACAAAGGAAAGACATAGAAGCAGCTCTTGAAGATAGAGTAGCCATTTTTCTTATCAAGTCTTACTGTAGAAGTCTTGCTACTCATTACAATGGGTGCCTTGCTGAACACATTTGTGCAGCACATCATAGCAAAAGAAGCCATGTACATCAACAGAGCTTTCATGGAAAGGGCCTATGCACTGAAATAATTCAGAGAACACACATGTAAAAAATGAGTCGTTTTTCCAGGAGCTGGTTCTCTTTCATGTAAAGAAACTGTTTAATCAAACCAGCTCTTCTTCCAGCATTCCTTCTTTCAGTGAATGCACAGCCACCCACTCCCTCTTGCTTTCCACTTTGCTCCTGACTCTATAATATCTACTCATAATGTTATATTCTTCGTATGTCTGCATATCTAACTTACAAATGAACTTCTGAAGGAAAGGGAATATGATATATTTACATCTGTGTGCTATATTCCCAGTATTGACCCACTGCTTAGAATTCAGGAGTTTAATAAATGTTTATTAAGAATTATTTGAGGCTGGGCGCAGTGGCTCATACTTGTAATCCAAGCACTTTGGGAGGCTGAGGCAGAGGACTGCTTGAGCCCAGGAGTTCAAGACCAGCCTAAGCATCATAGCAAGACCTTGTCTCTACAAAAAATTTAAAAATTAGCTGGGTGTGATGGCACATGCCTATAGTCCCAGCTACTTGGAAGGCTGAGGCAGGAGGATCACTTGAACCCAGGAGTTTGAGGCTACCACTGCACTCTAGCCCAGGCAACAGAGCAAGAGGAAGGGAGGGAGGGAGGAATTATTTGACCAAGTGTGTTACTTATAATAGTTCTGGTATGAACTGATGAACAAGTATCTATGTATCTATCATAATAGATTCATTTCAAACTGAACTCCTGAGCTCATCAGTCTTCCCTGGCTAGTTATTTATTCCATTTCTAAGAAATTTATTCCAATTTCTAAGAAATTGCCATTGTAGGTAGCTGCTATAGGAAGGGGAAACCTATTTATTGTCAGTTACTCATACCTTATGGCATCAGATTTTCAGATTATCCATTTTTGGGTCCTAATAACCCTGTCCATTTCCAACTATAATAGAGAACTAAATACAAACTGACTTTGAAATTAAATTTTTCTTTAAAGAATGGGAAGATAAAGGATGATTTGTAAGATAGGCAAAAGCATTCATTGATAGAAATTGCTTCTTTTTATTCAAAAACAAAAGTCCAAACTTTTTTTTTTTTAATCTGGTGTGCCATGTTCTAAATGCCTTCTATCTGCCTTTACTCCCGATACTCCCTCAGAATGGAATGCCCACTGTGCCTCAGCTACATGGCAGATACCGACCCATCTTGCCAGATTCAGCTCAAGCATCAGCCATTTCTCTAGGAAGTCTTTCTTGAATAATGCCCTACCACCAATACCAAGCTTTCTCTATTATTTTCTTTTTAAATTTTTCTATATCCTATATAGTTATCTAACAGTGCCTTCCATACTTCAGTGCATTTATTTATAACTTTTCAAAACTAGACTTAATCACTTGTCAGCAGGGACCATGTAGAATTCATTTTTGTATTTCCATAGACTGAAGAATGGATGTATAAATATATGAATGGAAGAAAGCTTAACATGATGAAGTATGGTATATTCATTCAATCGATCAATATTTTTAAAGCATTGACTAGGTGCCAGATAGTGTTTTAAGTACTGGTGATAGAGTAGTAAACAAACCAGATAGGCCAGGTACAGTGGCTCACACCTGTAACTCTAGCACTCCGGGAGGCTGAGGCGAGCGGACTGCTCAAGGTCAGGAGTTCGAAACCAGTCTAAGCAAGAGTGAGACCCCGTCTCTACTATAAATAGAAAGAATTAATTGGCCAACTAATATATATAGAAAAAGTCAGCCAAGCATGGTGGCACGTGCCTGTAGTTCCAGCTACTCGGGAGGCTGAGGCAGTAGGATTGCTTGAGCCCAGCAGTTTGAGGTTGCTGTGAGCTAGGCTGACGCCATGGCACTCACTCTAGCCTAGGCAACAAAGTGAGACTCTGTCTCAAAAAAAACCCACAACAAACCAGATAAAAATCCTTGCCCTCATGAAGCTTACATTCTAGAGGCAATATAACAATAAATAAAAACATTATGTATTAGATAGCTATCATGCGATCAAGAAATACAATGCAGGGAAAGGAGACAGGAAGTATTAAGAGTGGAAGGGAAAAACATGTATAGGAGGGTTACAACTTAGAGAGGTTGACCAGGGAAGGCCTTATTGGGAAAGTGACATTTTGGAAAAGATTTGAAGGTGGTGAGGGAGTGATTCATGAGGCTATCTAGGGGAAGAGGATAGGTTGAGAGAACAGCAAGTACAAAAGTCTAGGGCAGGCCAAGTGTGGTGGCTCACACCTGTAATCCTAACACTCTGGGAGGCCAAGGTGGGAGGATCGTTTGAGCTCAGGAGTTCAAGACCAGCCTGAGCAAGAGTGAGACCCCATCTCTACAAAAAAAAAAAAAAAAAAAATAGAAAGAAATTAGCTGGACAATTAAAAAAAAATTATATATATATATATATAAAACATATATATGTATAAATTATATAAAAATTAGTCGGGCATGGTGGTTGATGCCTGTAGTCCCAGCTACTTAGGAGGCTGAGGCAGGAAGATCACCTGAGCCCAGGAGTTTGAGGTTGCTGTGAGCTAGGCTGACACCATGGCACTCTAGCCAGGGTAACAGAGTGAGACTCTGTCTTAAAAAAAAAAAAAAAAAAAGTCTAGGGCAGAAGTCTAGTTGATGTGTTCAAGGAAGAAGAACAATGTTGCTTCTAAGAGGTGATAGGGTGGGAGGAGAGATGCCCAGATTCCATAGGGCCTTATTGGTCATGAACAATTTTGACTTTTACTCTGAATGATACTGGAAACCACTGGTAGGTTTTGAACAAAGAAGAGATGTTACTCTGACTATTGCATTAGAACTAGATTGAAATGGGGAAAGGGAGGCGGCTGAAATTAGAAACAAGAAAATCAAGTAGGAGGCTACTGCAATAATCTGGACCAAACAATATGGTGGCTTAAACCGGGATGTTGGCAACAGAGGCATTGAGGACTAGTATGATTTCTGAAGTAGAGCAAACAGGATCTACTGTTGGATTAGGTGTGAGAGAAAGAAAAGTGCCCAAGATGACTCCATGGTTTTGGCCTGAACCATTAGAATAGAGATACAATATACTGAGAAAGAGTGTAGGTAGGATTTGAAGCCCAATGAGGTGGTTTTTAAGTCCTAGCCCTGCCACTTCCTAACTTTGTAGAGCTGATATTTCATTTAGCTTTCTGATACTTGTTTACTCATTTGTAAAATGGGAATGACAATCCTTGTTATTATATCAAATGAAACAATATTAACAAAAATGTATTATAGTAATCCTAGCACTCTGGGAGGCCGAGGCGGGCGGATTGCTCAAGGTCAGGAGTTCGAAACCAGCCTGAGCAAGAGCGAGACCCCGTCTCTACTATAAATAGAAAGAAATTAATGGGCCAACTAATATATATATAGAAAAAGCTAGCCGGGCATGGTGGCGCATGCCTGTAGTCCCAGCTACTCGGGAAGCTGAGGCAGTAGGATCACTTGAACCCAGGAGTTTGAGGTTGCTGTGAGCTAGGCTGATGCCATGGCACTCATTCTAGCCTGGGCAAAGTGAGACACTGTCTCAAAAAAAAAAAAAAAATGTATTATAAATCATAAAAGACTTAGGTATCACTATTATCTCAGTAACTTTAGAGGGACTGTTTTGTGTTATCAACTCCTTCCCTCATCCTTCCCTCAAAAATATATACAGATACTCCTTCAAAACTTAAGCTAAGAAACCAGAAACTTAAAATCCTATGTTATGCATACAAAGCACTCCTTTCTCTTCGGCAGGGCTTTCAGTAAAACTATAAAACACCAGTGCAGACAGCAGACAAACCCAGAGGCTAGCCCATAACTAAATGCCACCGGGGGGGACGCTTGCTGCATTTACCCTTTGTTAACGTTCTTGTCGTCATCCACCCACTGGATGTGGATGTGCTCCTGGGGATCCTCCGCATCCGCTTTCCCACAGGTGATGGTGAAGTCCTTCATCTCTCGCAGGGCCTGCCTCAAGGAATCCATGTTCTCTGCAGTGATCTGGACCATAACGCCATCTAAGAATCAATACCAAGATAATACAGATGGAAACAGCACAAAGCCAGGGAGGAGGGCAGATAAACACAGTACCTGGTATCTAGCAAATCCCTCTGAGTTAAATGTAAAACTTTGCTCTGCTCTCCAAAGCTGACAGATACAAAGAGGTTTTGTTCTTCGAGCTAAACCTCTTACTTATTGAAAGTGTTGTGAGGAGCAAATGCCAAGAAGGGCTCTGCACTTGCTTGCCAATTTCACTTCACACTCAACTAAGAGTCTCTGGAAAAACTTATACACGGTCACGTTCCTCTTCCAGACTCCCAGCCCATTTTGTTCCTATTTCCACTCTTGCATTTATCATCCTCTGATCATATTTATTTGCTTATGTTTCCATCTTTCTCACCTATATGACTGCCTGGCATAGACTGAACGCCCAGTAAATGTTCGCTAAATGAACTACAGTAGTGTGCTTAGGGATAAATCCATTTACTGACTAGCAATAAGGCAAACCTACCACAGAGTTTCATATGGGCTACCATATAACCAACAGATGGCAACTGTTTTTCAGCTGCTACCTACCTGAGTCAAAGGCAAACACTGAAATTGAGGATAAAAGTTGTCACATGCTGAGCAATTACCTTGCTTCATTGACACATAATTTTGTCAGCTGAAATAATTTCTAAAGAGCCTCAATAAAAATTTCATAAATAGGCAGCCAACTGCTGTACTGAAACACACAAGTGAAATGCAAAACCCAAGAAATTCCCAACCCAGAAAAATAAACACATAACTTTAAAATACATTGCTTTGCATTTGTAAGGATCTGTCCATTCAATTTATTTTTCTTCTTTACTTTTTTTAGAGATGGGGGTCTCACTATGTTGCCCAGGCTGGAGTACAGGGGCTGTTCACAGGCACAATCATAGCATACTGCATCCTTGAACTCCTGGCCTCAAGGGATCCTCCCACCTCAGCTTCCCGAGTAGCTGGGACTATGGGTGTGCCACTGCAATCAACTCAATTTGTCATTTTTAACAATGTTTAAAGGGTATTTTTTGATCACCTTGTAAACACATAATTTCGACTACAGTCAACACTTGACCATATAGGTATTAATTAGTTACTTTAGACCAGATGACTATTTAACTCCTGGATTTCTTTTCTTAACAATCTCTTAATAGCATGTTTCTGCTTTGTAGTCAGAGTTTGTAAAATTCAATTGAAATTTAGTGCACTTTGCACTTCATTCACTGTTTTATTAAATTTATCAAAAGAAGAAGATCAAAGCCATTATCTATAAATACATGTAAGATTATCTATTTATTTTATTAATAATAAACACACTGGAATCTAGCCCTCAGAAAGGACTGCTTTTACGTAGGGCCTTGGAGTGAGCTATTATAAAAATGAAAACTTGTCATCATGTAGGGCAGACTGTATTTTCTAAAGATGGTCATAATACCTCCTGTCTCACTTTTCTATAATGCTTTTCTACAATGCTACCTTCCTGTTCCCCCATTAAGAAATGGAGTCTAATTCTTCTCCTTTCTTCCAACACCAGAGTTTGGTGGAAGTGACACTGTGTGACTTTCAAGGCTGGGTCACAAAAGCAATGCAGCTTCCTCTTTGTTGCTGGAATACTCATCCTTGGAGTCCCAAGCCATCATGTAAAAAGTCCAACTATCCTGATGCTACCATGCTAAGGCCATGCTACCAGGCCATGCTAAGGAGTCCATGTGTAAGTACTCACTCCTATAGTCTTTAAATCATCCCAGGCCAGGCCCCAGATGTGTATGTGAGGAAACTTTCATATAATTATAGCTCCCAGCCATCAAATAACTTCAAGTCATTCCAATGAAGACCACCAGGATCACAGGGCATTGCCCTGTCAAGCCTGACCCAGAGGAATTAATACGCATGATAAAATAGCTGTTTCAAGCCATTAAGTTTTGGGGTAATTTGTTATACAACAAGAAAAACCAGATCAAAATACAATGAAGAATTGCCAACAAAGAAAATAAACAGCATGCCTATTAGCCTTTCATTAATTTAATTAACTTTTATCAGGATATGTGTCATGTCTAATTATAGCAAACCAGCAGCAAGACACCCCATTCTGTACTGCAATGATCACAGAGTTTCTTGTGGGTAGGAGGGATTACACTTCATCCTCACATTCACATATTTGTGCCCAACAATATATTTGAATTTAGACTACGTCTTCACAGGTACCTTATCCCAGAGCTCTAAAAAGCCATCTTTTATTTTTTATGTCACTCTCCCATGGTACCTATTCTGCTTACTCCCTTCTTTGCAGAGTTAGGCACGTTCATGGCAGTTTTAATTTGCTAAAGAGTGAGATGCTACCGAATAAATAATAGGAGTCAGACATCTAAAGCAGAATTGTCAAGGATTCCTTTAATGTCCCTCGATTTTTAGGTGTATATTAATAATTACGATGGAACTAATATGCATGCAGTAAACAACTCATTCTTTACCTTCCACAATACTGGACTTGGCAAGGTATCCTGAAGAGGATTTCAGAGCGCCACTGAACACAAAGAAACTGGCACCAGTCACTAAAATAGCAATAGACATAGTTTAGTTGAAGATAGACCCTGAAATGGAGGGATTGGTAACAATAATGAAATATTCAGTAGTTGGGAATTCGAAAAATGATCATACAAAAAAATTAAAAATATCAAACCTATATTCCACAATATATAAGTAACGATGCTTATGATAGCTTTGGGAATAAGGTTCTGAGATACACTCCTCCATTTAGTTTTGCTCTTCCTCCAATCAAGAATCAAAGAATATTAACAAGCAAAAAAATCTTAGTGGTTAAGTCCACGGGTTGGCAAACTGTAATCCATTTGAACTGCAGCCTATTTTTGTAAATAAAACTTTACTGGAACACAGCCATATTCATTCATTTACATATTGGCTACGGTAATTTTTGTACTATAATCTAGAATTGAGTAGTTGTCGACAAAGACCACAGGCTTGCAAAACCTAAAATATTTATCAGCTGGCCCTTTCACAGAAAAAGTTTGTTGACCCTGATCTAAACCACTGATTTCCAGATTTTTTTTAGATGAAATATGTTTTGAAGATGGAGATACACTGCAAACCATTTCATCTTTCAAGTTATTTAAAAAAAAACACCTATTTAAAAGACAAACTCCTATTACTACTATCTCTTCATAAAAGAAAAAATATCCAGTTACATTTAGCTTTGTGGAAACTTCACTATACTGTCCTTATTTTCCACATCTTAAAATGAACTGGGCTCATTTAATTCCCTACCCATTGGCTCTAAAATATTTCTAACAGGTGATCATCCAGCCTTTGTCAGAGACCCCTAGTGACAAGGAGCCGACAACAGCATAAGGCAACCCATTCTACTGACGAAGAGCTCTCAGGGTTACAGACTGTGCTCTCAAACTGAGCCCAAATCTGGCTCCCTGTGACTTTCACCCTTAGTGCTGGTTCTGGCCTTTTGTAGCTATAGAGAGTAAGTTCAATCTTATTTCCATATAATACAGTCTTAAAAATAGAAATAGCTATTTTTTATCCTCTTCAAATCTATACCTTTTCAGGTTAAACATTATACTTTAAGAAGTCTTCTTTGATCTAGGTTCCAGATTTCCCACAGGTCTTCAATCATGCTCTGGAAACCCTAGTTTTGTCAATATACTCACAACAAGGAGATCCAGAATTTATTTGAATATTGTAGATACAATTTGACTAATAAGCACCGTGGACTTATCACCTATTTTATTTTAGATATTACATTTGAATATACATGTGCTAAATGCCTTTTATACCTTTATTAAACACCTGACTTTAAAAACATATTGAAGGCAGTGACCTGCTGTATGCCTAATAGGGAAGCATTTCACAAAACATACTAATGAAAGCTAGTTTAGGGAGAAATTCTGAGGAAAAAAAGATTTGTGGTCAAATAAATTTGAGAAGAGCTAGATGTGATCTTCCTTACAGGTTTCTCAGATTAAATTTATTAAGCAAGACTTACTTATTTATATGATTTATGTGAATATTTTTGAAAACATGGAGCCTGAGAAAACACTCTGGGCAACGTTACCTTGGGCAATGCTTCTCAAACTCTAATGTGTATTTCAATTACACAGAGATCTTGTTAAAATGCAAATTCTGATTAGAAGATCTAGGGTGTGTATTCTTCATGAGACCACACTCTGAGTAGCACTGAACCTAGATACCTTCCTTTGGAATCCTGTCAATCTATTAATTAACATTCTTTGTGAATGGTCACCCGGTAAGCTCCAAATCTACCTAAGCACACTCTCATTGTGGGGTCTAGTCTCACCTTCAGATACCAAAGCTGGTCCTGTCAGTACCTTAAGGCAATATTTTCAGAATGTTTTCCTCAATAACAGAGATCCCATTTTCAAACTCTGACTCTGGCTACTTGGGAAGTCAACATAATTCTGGAGAATATGGTTAGAAGTGTTAATTAATTTGCTTGTGGCCACCTATCTAGAAAGTGAGTGTTATGGGGCTGAGGTATCCAACTCTTCAAGTCCAGTATAATCTTTGATTATAATAATCTCAACCAGCTCAAATGCTCACCTTTTCTGGGCTGATTGTGAATACTGATAGCCTGGGTCTGATAGTTTCCATCATCATTCTGTACACACACAAGATGAGAGTCTGCCTTTTCATTGAAGCAGGCACCTCCTGCCAGGACATGCTCATTGGACTTGTTCATGGCTTTCATCATCTGCAATCAAAGAGAGTTAACCTTATTCTGACAAGAATAGGCATTTTTCTGTCTGACATGGCCCTACTCCATCTTCTCAAAGACAAAATAACAGAATAATATTACTTATTAAAGTGACAAAGGGGCCAGGTGTGGTGGCTCACGCCTGTAATCCTATCAGTCTGGGAGGCGAAGGTGGGAGGATCACTTGAGATAAGGAGTTGGAGACCAGCCTCAGCATAAGCAAGACTCCATCTCTACTAAAAATAGAAAAAATTCACTGGGCATGGTGGCACACACCTGTAGTCCCAGCTACTCAGGAGGCTAAGCAGGAGGATTGCTTGAGCCCAGGAATTTGAGGCTGCTGTGAGCTAGGCTGACACCACAGCACTCTAGCCCAGGCAACAGGGCAAGACTCTGTCTTAAAAAAAAAAAAGTGACAAAAGGGGCTACCAAATATTGAAAACAGTAAAAAATCACAGTCACCATTAGTAAATCAATATATACAAAAATTCCCTGTATAGTTTATAAGAGATTTGCACTATAACCTAATAAGCACATGACACATTTTACATTCATTTTTTGCCTTTTTATTGCTGCACTGAACTTAAGTAACTAAAATTAGTTTAGCTAATTGCAGTAGTTTCTCCTAGATTCTCTGAAGACATAAACTCTGAAACTCTAAGTTCAAAAAGAATGTCCCACATTAAAGTACATCTGCCTTCTTTTTCAATATCCAAAGAAATGAGGCCTTCTTCTAAAAACATATGAAATTCATTGTTTCTTAATTTTGCTAACTTGTTTTCAATTCTTTTGAGTATATATATTTGGGGGTAGAATTGCAGGGTCCTATGTTAATTCTAAGTTTAACCTATTGAGAAGCCACCAAATTATTTTTGTAGTGGTTGAAACATTTTACATTTCTACTAGCCATGTACAAGTGTTCCAATTTCTTAACATCCATGTCAACACTTGTTACCTTCCTTTTTTTCCAAAGCCATCCTAGTTGGTGTGAAATGGTACATCTCATGTGGTTCTGATTTGCATTTTTATAATGACTAATCGATGCTGAGCATCATTTCATGTGATTTTTTTTGCAGAACATACTTTGGGAATGTGATTTTTGACCATCTATATATTTTCTTTAGTGAACTATCTATTCAAGTCATTTACCCATTTTTTAATTGGGTTGTTTGTCCTTGTTTGCTTGTTTTTAGAGACAAGGTCTCGCTATCTTCCTCCTCCCACCTCAGCCTCACACATAGCCAAGACTAAAGGCACACGCCAACATGCTCTGCTCTCTTACTGAGTTGTAAGAGTTTTTTGTTTTTTTTTTTTTTGAGACAGAGTCTCACTCTGTTGCCCAGGCTAGAGTGCCATGGCGTCAGCCTAGCTCACAACAACCTCAAACTCCTGGGCTCAAGCGATCCTCCTGACTCAGCCTCCCAAGTAGCTGGGACTACAGGCATGCGCCACCATGCCTGTCTAATTTTTTCTATATATTTTTAGTTGTTGGCTAATTAATTTCTTTCTATTTTTAGTAGAGACAGGGTCTCGCTCTTGCTCAGGCTGGTTTTGAACTCCTGACCTTGAGCGTAAGCCTGCCTTGGCCTCCCAGAGTGCTAGGATTACAGGCGTGAGTCACCACGCCCGGCCAAGGGTTCTTTATATATTCTGGATACTAGGCCCTTATCAGATATATGATTTGCAAATATTTTCTCCCATTCTGTAGGGTGTCTTTTCACTTTCTTGACAATGTCTTGGATGCACAAAAGTTTTTAATTTTTATTAAGTTAAATTTATCCATTTTTTTCTTTTGCTGCTTGTATTTTCAGTGTCATATCTGAGAATCCAATGCCAGATCCAAAGTCACGAAAAATTACCCTATGTTTTCTTCTAATAGCTTTATGGTTTTTCCTTATATTTAGTTCATTGATCCATTTTCAGTTAATTTTTATATATAATATGTGGTGGGGACACAGTTTCATTCTTTTACATGTAGAAATCTAGTTGTCCAGCACTATTTGTTGGAGAGACTATTCTTTCACCATTGAATGATCATGAAACCCTGTTGAAATCAATTGGTCATAAATGTATGAATTCATTCCTAGCTTAATTCTACTCCATGCCAGTACCATAGTTTTGATTACTATGGGCTTTCAGTAAGTTCTGAAATTGGAAAGTATAAATCGTCCAATTTTGTTCTTCTTTTTTGAAGAACATTCTTGAATGGATATTCAAGGCCCCTTGCAATTTCAGATGAATCAGTATTGGGTTTCCAGTTCTGCAAAAAAGGCCACTAAAATTTTGACAGGGCTTGCATTGAATCTGTAAATTGCTTTTATTATTGACATCTTAACAATATTAAATCTTTCAGTCCATGAACACAGTAAATCTTTTCATTTATGTAGGTCTTCTTTAATTCCTTTCAGCAATGATTTATAGTTTTCAGGTTGTAAGTCTTTTATCTCCTTGGTTAAATTTATTTCTAGGTATTATATCAATACAACTCTAAAGCACCATCATCTCATGGCTTTACTTTGTTAGGTTTATAATGTTTATAACTTTTACAAAGTTAACATTTTAATATATTACTGTATCCTCAAAGCCATCTTAATTATAATTGAATACTCTTATACTAACATTTGTCAACTTCACTAATCCAAACCACTTCTATCAGGGTTTTCCAAAGGTTACTTTTAAATAATTCTTCTGCAAACAGGATGAGTCAGCTAGAAGATTCTGCTTAGCAAAGTCAACTGATAGACAAATTTAGGTTCTCATTTGCAATTTATATTTGTATCACATGAAAGAAACTGAGATGATCACAATTTTAAAGAATGTTCTATCCATCATTTCTTCCATATCATTAGGCTAAAGTGGTTTCTAATTTTGTCGACATAAGCAGTCTGAAACACTTTCAATTCAGACATTCTGAATAAATTAGCTAGCCTTGAAGGAAATCATTTCCCTGGATGTCAATTATTAAGATAAGCCCAATGAGATAAACAAACTTCATATACCTTTAGACATGAATGAATATATTTGTTCTCTTAAAATAATGTTCATTTATAATAAGAGCAGATCTTCCCAGATATTCGAAGGAAGTTACTGACCATAAAATAAACTTATACTTGTCATATAACGGTATAAATACTTGAATATACATTTTAGTTATGCTATTTCTCTATCAATTCAAATTCTGAAATATATCTTGTATTTATACGTATCTTCACCATAGTTCAAGGCCTAATTACCTCTTCTCTGGACATAATAGTAATTGGTTTTCCTACACTCAGTCTCTATCAGTTCTGATTCTTTCCACACAATGTTTCCGTACTTATCAAAGCACAGCTCTGATATGTCTGTCACACCTTCTCCATCTTGTCTTCCATTCAGAATCACAAGCTTTCTATGCTGTAGCCCCACACCCAATTTCCTGTCTTGCCTCCTTTCCTATAGTATCTTATATGCTGTTTATATGCATAACTATTTCCCAATGCCCCATCATTTCCCATCCCTGAGCCTATGCATGTTTTTATTCAGCCTTTTTTTTCTCTCATATCCATTCACTTGAAAAAGCTGTCCCCGCAAAACACTAATTCCCACATGATGCTTTCTTTAACCCTCAATCAGACACTAATGTAACCACTCCCTTCTTTGAAATGCCATAGCACATTCTCTGTATTTTTTATACCCCATTATCCATATTCACCCTTGGATAATGATGAATAGCAAGACCACCAGTATTTGAATACTGGCTTTGTTAGTAACTAGTTGTGTGCCCTTGGGCAATTTACTTCACCTCTCTGTGTCCCAGTATCCTCCTCTGTAAAATGGGATAATAAAAGTAACTATTTCACAGAGTTATGAGAGTTAAATAAATATTTACAAAGTGTTTAGAACAGCACCAAACACATAATAAGCACTGATTAAATGTTTGTTAAATAAAATTTGTATGCTCATCTTCCCTGCCCTGCATACTGAACCTTAAAAACAGCAGTAAATAATTCAACCAAGTACCTCTTAGGAGATAATGGAACTTAGGACCATTCCTAAGAGCTTACAAATTAATGAGAATGACTTACTGATAAAAGGCAGAGAAACAACTGCAGTAACAATAGTATGTGCAAAGTAGTTAACATTTATGGAGCACCAACCATGAGCCAAGCACTGAGTTAGCTGAGCTAGATGCTACTTGGGTATTAACTCAAATGAACTATTTTAATACATCAAGTGAAATAGCACATGAGCTTTATCACCCTATTTCCTACCCAGGGAGCCCAAGAAAATCACAAGAGACAATTAAAAGAATATAGTTCTATGAAAGACTGTGCTGGAAGAATGGGTGAGTGAGGAGTTATATCTAATCCATCTCTAAATTAACACACCATGTATTTCAATTTCCTCTCTGAAATCTCATGTTTCAAAAATGACAGTTTATCAAACTTTTTGATTTCAACTAGGAAGACTTGTAGAAGAGACATTTAAGCAGTGCTTTGAGGAATAGTTACAATTTGTATGATATGTTACACTTAGCACAAGGCCTTGCTCCTGGCAGGTACTGAATAAATATTTGAATATATTAATTAATAAACCAAATAAGTAGGAATAGATTTGGTGGGTTTGTCTCAGTATAAAGTTATACTGAGAGTTCATACTGTTAGCACAATAGCTCAGAAAAATTCTCAGTTCACTTGTAATTTCAGTGTCACAAAGATTAAGTATCCAATAAAATAAGTTTTAATGATTCAATTCTATAAACATTTAAAGTGATTATCAAGTGATTATCAAGTGATTATCAAAGACTTTAGGTAGGGAGATCCATTGTAAAGATGTGAAAAATCTAAGAAAGTGAACAACTGCATTAGGGATACACAAGGGAGAATGAAAGACATACTCTCTGCCCTCAGGTGGCTCTTAATTCAGAGCAGGATGGGATTCATACCTATCAGCTACACACGCTACTTGAATAAAGAACAGTTGGGAAAACAGAGAAGAAAAAGAATGATACTGCCTAG